CCTCAGCTATGTTTAGAAAAAAATATTATTTCAAAATTCACCCTCATTACTCTTACATTTGTGTTATATTGATGATGTGTGTTGCCTACTTCAATTCATTTCTTAATTTAAATGCAAATCAGCTGATTAATTCTCTAGTTGTTTATTTTTCAGATTTCACAATCCAATTTTGCAAGTAAAGTACCTACAATTATAATCTGCTTATTTTTTAAAACATCTTCATATAAAATAATGTGCAAAAATCGAATATTCTTGTTCTAAAAGTATTCTACAAAAAACAGCATCTGGCTTGAGAACTCTGCATAAAGTAATTTTCTCCAAAATCACATCAAAATTCACCTTCATTACTCTTACATTTGCGTTAGATTTATGATGTGTGTTGCATACTTCAAGGCGTTTCTTAATTTAAATGTAAATCAGCTGATTAATTCTCTAGTTGTTTATTTTTTAGATTTCACGAGCCAAATTTGCAAGTGAAGTACCAACAATTATAATCTGATTATTGTTTTAAAACATCTTCATATTAAATAATGTGCAAAAATCTACAAAAACCGCATCTGGCTTGAGAACTCTGCACAAGTGCATACTTCTAGGCGTTTCTTAATTTAAATGTAAATCAGCTGATTAGTTCTTAAGTTGTTTATTTTCCAGATTTATTTTTACATTCACTTGAATGTAGATGTCTGAAAGACATTTAGACTAATGATGAAATTTCAATTATCATACGGAATCGCTTATTTTCTACTATTGATTTTTTAATTATATGTTTTTAATATCCGCGCTTCCGTCTTGTCGTAATAAAAATATTGTTAAAAAATAAACACTTTTATTTTCCTTAATTTTTTTAATTTTTTCTTTCATAGCTTTCTTTTTACTTTTACTTTTTATTTATCATTTTTGTCCATCGTATTTAAATAAACTCCCTGGCAATTAAATTCATAATTATTTTTATCAGTCAACACAATATGGTCGTTAATAACTAAGCAATTAGCCCAATAAAACTTTATCCCTTATGACAATAGTAATCAGACTAAAACCCAAGGCTACAGTTAAACTCTAAGTGTTTTTCCTAGCACTTTCAATTTGTTCATCTATGAACTCATTGTCTACGGTTTTGTTTCAGGACGTTAGGATCCTTAGGTATAATTTTAATGGATTTTTTCTCTTGCCTGTCTTCCAGTCTAGGCCACAATTCTGTAGTTTTTTTTCAAGCCATTACACTAACTTTCATAATAGTTTCAATATTTTGTTAGATGTTTATCAAAAGGATTTATTAAGTGTTATCCTGTGTGTTTTTCTTCTTCTGCTGCGGCTACTTCTCCTGGGGAAATTGTGCACTTTTTTGTTGATGTTATTTTTTTGCTGCGAACTTTTTTGTTTACGTTCTTCTATTTTCTCAGGGGAGAATTGTTTTCATTGCAGGTTTTTTATTTAGAGATAAATAAGAAAAAGTTATTTTCAGTTTTGATTTGAAGGAAACTATTTATATAAATTGTTGGAGATTGAAGTTAGAAGTGGTGCATAATGTAGGCGAACCGTAATTGCCCATAAAGCAAATTGAATTGATGTAAACAATTTTTGAAGTAATGATATGGTAAACAAGTGTGATGCATACTTTTAGGCTCTTCCACTTCTACATTAATGTTAACATTACATAATTTAGGACGGTTGGGAATATATTAATTCCGCATACGAATTCTTTGAAAAATTGTAGCTTATTATTGTTTCAGAAAATATTCCTTAAATAATCTACTTTCCCTGCCCTGAAAGTATTTCACAAAATATTTCTTAAAAAGCCTATGCTTCTTGCTAAACAAAATATTTTTAAAACCCAACAATTTGTCCGGAACGCGTTTCAAAAAACATTCTTTTAAAATCCACGCTTCTTGCTCTGAAAGCATTTCGGAAAATATTATTTAAATAATCTACGCTTCCTGACCACAAAATATTTTTTAAAAGCCTATGCTTCTTATCGAGAAAGCATTTAAAAAATAATATTCTTAAAAACCTAAACTTCTTGTTTGGAACCCGTTTCAGAAAATATTTTTGCTTTAATCTAAGCTTCTTGCCCTGATATTGTTTCAGAATATATTCTTCGACAATCTACGCCCATTGCCCTGAAAATCATTTTATAATAGATGTACGTTTCTTGCCTCAAAATATTACATAAAATATTTTTTTTAAATATCTACACTTCTTGTTCCGTAAGCTATATAAGTTATTCCACTGGTCTTGCCCTGAAAGTGTTTCAGAGAATATTTTGCAAAAAGCTACGGTCCTTGTCCTGAAAGTATTTCAGAAAATATTTGTTAAACATTGTTGCTTCTGCTGTGGAAACCACATAAATTATTCTCCATTGATCTTCTCCTGAATGTTCTTTACAAAATCTACGCTTCTTGTCCTGAACTTGTTTCATAAAATTGCTTTAGCTTGTTATCCTGAAAAAGCTTCACAAAATATTCGTTAAAACCCCTCTTCTGAAAGTGTAGCACAAAATGTTCCTAACAAATCCTCGTTCCTTGCTCTGAAAGTACCACATAAACATTCCAAGTAAATAAATACTCCACGTTTCTAAAAAAAATATTTTTATAATAAATCCCTGTATATCTCGTGGTAATTGCTAGATGAGGTCCATTGCATACTTTCAGGCGTTTGTATTTTAAATATTAATCAGCTGATTGATTCTCAAGTTGTCTATTTTTCAAAATTTCCAATGCCAACTGTATGGATCCACTTAATGTCCTGAAAGTTCTTTAAAGAATCTAGCCTCTTGCCCCGAACACGTTTCAGAAAATTGCTTTAGCTTGTTGTGCTGAAAAGGCTTCAGAAAATATACCCTCCCTTCTGAAAGTTTATCACAAAATGTTCCTAACAAATCCTCGCCCCTTGTTCTGTAAATCCCGCATAAATATTCCAAGTAAATAAATACTCCACGTTTCTAAAAAAATATTTTTGTAATAAATCCTTGTATATCTCGTGGTTCGGTAATAGCTACATGAGGTATATTTGTATATTAAATGTGAATCGGGTGGTTTTTTCTTAAGTTGTCTTTTTTTCAAAATTTTTAACGCTCTTTTTTCTGTAAGTCCTGCACAAATATTCTCGAGGCTTCTGAAAAATATTTGTATACTAAACCCCTAGATGTGTCTTTAGTTTGGTAATATATAGATGGTGTCCATTGCATACCTCTAGCCGTTTGTAGTTTAAATGTGAATCAGCTGATTGATTCTCAAGTTATGTATTTTTCAAAATTTTCAAAGCCACTTGTATCTAATAAAAATATCTTAAAGCTAATGATAATACTAGCTTCTATATTTCATTTAAAAGTCCAAGTTCCCTGTTCTGAAAGACCCAAACAATCCTGCTTTTGCATTCAAGAAAGCATAAAATAATATTTATAAATTCACGAAAAATATAGTTCCAAAATCTCTCTAATTGTTGTTACTTTTGTATTAGACTGATGACGTTCGTTGCATACTTCTAGGCGTTTCCAAATATAAGCATAAATCATCTGATTGAATCTCAGTTTGTTTGTGTTTCAGATATTTAAAGCCACATGAATGGTTGTAAGAAGATCTTGAGAATTACTCATTTCAAAATTTAAGCATAATTCAGCTGATTGAATCTCGAATTGTTTATTTTTCAGAGTATTTAAAGCCATTTGAATGGTTGTAGTGAGAAGATCTTGAGGATTACTATGTTGTCCTCATTTAAGAGACATTATTCTGGTAATTTTTTGATTAATTTCTTCATCACTTCTCTTTAAGAAGAGTTTCTACAACTACACTACTTTTTAAGTCAATAACACATATTGAAATCCGCACTTCTCTTTTTGTGTAAGCTTTACAAAATGTACTTTTAAATCTCCAAAAATTGTTCGTAAGAATATGGCTTCTTTCATTGAAGACCTTTTTTAAAATAATCTTTACAAATTCGCGAATATACCTCAATCAGGCCTTGAAAAATTGTTCAAATTCCCTTTTATTGTTCTTACTTTTATGCTAGATTGATGACGTGTATTGCACAGTTTTAGGCGCTTCGTAATTCAAGTGCAAATCAGCTGATTCATTCTCAAGTTGCTTATTATTCAGATTTTTTAAAACCACTTGAATGTATGTAATGAGAAGATTTGAAAATAATGATATACTTATCATTTAAAGGACATCCTTCCGGAAATTTTTTGATCAATTTCTCAACCGCTTAACTTTAAAATAAGTTTCAAAAACTATGATATTATTTACATCGCAAATACAAAATTGAAATCCGAACTTCTTTTTCTGTTCGTTTTTTATAAAACTTTTAAAAATCCAAACTACTCGATCTGAATCTTTCGTAAATATCCCGCTTCTTGTACTGTGTTAAATTGACGAGGTGTGTTGCATACTTCTAGGAGTTTCTTAATTTAAATTTAAATCAGCTGATAAAATCTCAAGTTGTTTATTTTGCAGATTTTTTAATGCCACTTGAATTTTTGTAATGAGAAGAACTTGAGACTAATGGTGTAATTATCATATAAAGGACTTCATTCCGGAAATTCTTTGATACATTACTGAAACACTTATCTTCAAGAGAAGTAACAAAAATTAAAACCAGAAATGCATTAAAATAAAAAAAATTTTTTTTTTTTTAATTCCAAAAATGAGGGGTGACATTTAGAAGTCTAATGAACCTGTGTAAAAATGAAGTGGTACTTGACTACAAAAAACCCAAACAAAACACAGTAACATTTGCAAATTATAAGTAATTAAATAAATTAAAAGAAAAATCAGGGTATATGTATTGGAGGTGTCTGGAGTTGGAGTTTGTTTTTGTGTTTCAAGTATTACTTTTACAAACCCGCCCGAAGAAGATGTCAATCATCTCCATTAGGTGTTGACAAGGTGTAAGTTCCTTAAGCACGGTGTTATATCTGTAGATGTGATTACAACAAAAAATACACACAAGTGTACAACACAAAAAAACACAAATAGAAATAATAATAAAAAGCAGCACTTACTTACCCCTCCCACCTTCCGTACGGTAAGGTGATGCGGAGTCATGTGGTTCGGGAGCGGTATTTTGTGTATCCAGCATATTGCTAATGCGTGGTGGAGTTTCTGCAAAAGAAGAGAATTAAAATAAAACACATTTAATTGGAAAGAAATTATGAATGAAAATCCTCGTCCCTATTTCTAGTTATATCCTGAATATTATTTATGAATGACTAGGCATAGAAATCAGTCATCGGAATGTTGTCTACTTTCATTACTTTGTCTTAGTTACATAACTTCGGATACTCACTTATACAGGGTGCAATGTGTGAACGACTTTGTTGATAACCACGAGCACAACGATTGCAGGTGAGACCAGTTACACCATCTTTGCAGGGACATTGACCTGAGGTGTGATTGCAAGTTTTGCCAGTCGAACCAACCGGGTGGCAGTCACAGGCTGTAAAATAGAAAAAAGGAAGGGTTAATTGAAAATAAATATCTCATCAAGGGAAATTAAGGCTTAATAATGTAATAATTTAAGATGTGTGGTGCATATTTTTAGGCGTCAACATAAAATTTTCTGTAATTCGGCAAGAAATTTTCTTTACAGAAATTTTTTTTCTATAGAAAAAAGTAGTGCCTGAAGTGGCCTATCGATATTTTTCTAGAGAAAAAAATGTCCCTGAAGGAGCCTATAGAGTTTTTTTCTAAAGAAAAAATAGTTTCCAAAGGGCACATCCCTAGGGTCCTATTAATTTTTTTCTACAGAAAAAAACAGTCCCTAAACAAAAAATAGTCACTAAGGGACCTCTCGAATTTTTTCTATGGAAAAAATAGCCCGCAAAGGGGCTTCACGATTTTTTCTATAGAAAAATAATCCCCAAAGCGGCCTCCCGATTTTTTTCTATAGAAAAAAAATCGATATGCCCATTTTTTTCTAAAGAAACAAATAGTTCCTAGGGTCCTATTGACATTTTTCTATACAAAAATAGTCACTAAGGTACCTCTCGAATTTTTCCTATGGAAAAAACACTCCGCAAAGGGGCTTCAGGAATTTTTTCTATAGAAAAATAATCCCCAAAGCGACCTCACGTTTTTTTTTTAGAGAAAAAATCGATATGACCAATGTTTTTCTATAGAAACAAATAGTTCCTAGGTTCCTATTGACTTTTTCTATAGAAAAAATAGTCCCTAAGGGTCTATTCGATTTTTTCTATACAAAAATAGTTACTAAGGGACCTCTCAAATTTTTTTCTATGGAAAAAATAGTCGCAAAGGGGCTTTACGAATTGTTTCTATAGAAAAATAATCCCCAAAGCGACCTCACAATTTTTTTTCTATAGAAAAAAATCGATATGACCAATTTTTTTCTATAGAAACAAATAGTTCCTAGGTTCCTATTGACTTTTTCTATAGAAAAAATAGTCCCTAAGGGTCCATTCGATTTTTCCTATACAAAAATAGTTACTAAGGGACCTCTCGAATTTTTTTCTATGGACAAAATAATCCGCAAATGGGCCTCACGAATTTTTTCTATAGAAAAAAATGTCCGTAAGGGGCCATCGAATTTATGCTATGGAAAATGCTATACATTTTTTCTATAGAAACAAATAGCAATAAGAAACCTCTCGATTTTTCTATAGAAAAATGGCATTAAGGGACCTCTCGATTTTCTTTTTCTATAGAAAAAAATGGAGCAAGGGGTCTCACGATTTTTTTATAGAAGCAATTTTGTAAACAAAAAAATATGTTTTGACCCTATTCCTTGGAACCACTGTCTTCATATGGACCTCTATTTTTGTTGCCATTATTGTTCCACATAAATCTTTTCTTGTTGGCACAAACAAATCTTAATGTAAATCTTAATTGTAGTTGATATCATTTGTTTCTGTTGTTCTGTTTTTTTCCATTTCTCTGTTGATGAACACTTGAAAAATTTGTCCATTCAATTTTGTCTGTCCTTTGATGCACTGCTCTGTCATTTCATATCAACAGGGAAAATGCATCTGCAATAAAATTTTGTTTTAATGAAATTGTCTTCCATTCTGCTGTTGTTGTAGTTGTTTTTTATGTTTGCAAATTTCCATTCCAGTTGACCTAAAGAAGTCTTTCATCTTTAATATTTGTCCATTTAGTATGAGTTGGGGGGCCAACAGTCAACATGAGTATTTACGTATGTCTTCTTGGGCCAGATTTTTTTTGTATTCAAAAAATTTGGTTTTCTACATTAATTCTTGGCAATGCGAACTTTTTGTTGTTTCTGCAACAATAAAAATTGGAATGCCTGCCTGAAAATCATTGATGCATTTTATTTTCATTTGGTTTTCTTTTTTATTCGGCCAAATATTTTGCGTTGGGCATATGGCTGGCAGCAGCGGACTTTGAGGCGTGTGTCAGCGTTGTTTTCTCATCTGCTGCATGCTGCAATTTTTGTTCGGATCGGTTCGGCCAAATTATGTGGCAAGTGTCTTTTGGTGTTCTGCTTCGAGGGCTCCTGTATGCCCTGTTGAAATTCGTTAATGTTTTGATGCTCCCAGGAGGGACTTTAAACCTAATTGCCAATGAAAGTGTGAATATATCTCTCTTATCACATCTTATTTGCTTTCAATGGATTTGTCTGGCTTTTGTTCTTCGATGGCGGAGTCTTTGTTTTGCCAAGGTTTATGTTGTCTTGCCAAAAAATTGAAGTACATTTATTTTGTCTTGGCCATTCATTCTCCGTTTATTTAATGGGGGTCAAAGTAGTTTGTCTGACAGATATAAAATGATAACTCAGCATCTGGTCTTCCATTTTTTCGGCAGAGGCTCCTAACGCACAAGTTTTTTCGTGAAGCACCATAGGGATTATTTTTTTCTATAAACAAAAAAATCGTGAGGCCTCTCAGGATCTCTCAGGATCTATAAAAAAAAAATCGTGAGTCCCTAAGAGACTATTTTTATCTATAGAAAAAATCGTAAGGCCTCTTGGGACTATTTTTTCTATAGAAAAAAATCGAGAGGTTCTATAGAAAAAAATCTTGAGGCCCCTTAGGATCTTTTTTCTATAGAAAAAAATCGTGAGTCCCAAAGAGACTATTTTTATCTACAGAAAAAATCGTAAGGCCTCTTGGGACTATTTTTTTCTATAGAAAAAAATTCGAGAGGTCCCTTTAGGGACTATTTTTTTCCCCTAGAAAAAAATTCGAGAGGTCCTTTTAGGGACTATTTTTTTCCAAAGAAAAAAATTCGAGAGGTCCCTTTAGGGACTACTTTTTTTCCATAGAAAAAAATTCGAGAGGACCCTTTAGGGACTACTTTTTTCCATAGAAAAAAATTCGAGAGGTCCCTTTAGGGAATACTTTTTTTCCATTGAAAAAAATTCGAGAGGTCCCTTTAGGGACTATTTTTTTCATAGAAAAAAATTCGAGAGGTCCCTTTAGGGACTATTTTTTTCATAGAAAAAAATTCAAGAGGTCTCTTTAGGGACTATTTTTTTCATAGAAAAAAATTCAAGAGGTCCCTTTAGGGACTATTTTTTTCATAGAAAAAAATTCGAGAGGTCCCTTTAGGGACTATTTTTTTCATAGAAAAAAATTCGAGAGGTCCCTTTAGGGACTATTTTTTTCATAGAAAAAAATTCGAGAGGTCCCTTTAGGGACTATTTTTTTTCATAGAAAAAAATTCGAGAGGTCCCTTTAGGGACTATTTTTTTCCATAGAAAAAATCGAGAGGTCCCTTTAGGGACTATTTTTTTCCATAGAAAAAAATCGAGAGGTCCCTTTAGGGACTATTTTTTTCCATAGGAACTATTCGAGAGGTCCTTTAGAGACTATTTATTTCTATAGAAAACAAATTTGAGAGGACTCTTAAGGGACTATTTTTTATAGAAAAAATTGCGAGGTCCCTTAGAGACTATTTTTTTCTACAGAAAAAAAAGTCGAAAGGTCTCGAGAGGTCTCTAAGGGACTATTTGAGAGGTCCATTACGGGTTTTTTCGTTTAAGAAAAAATCGATAGGTCCTTCAGACTACCTTTTTCTGTAGAAAAATGTTCGAGAGGTCCCTTAGGGACTATTTCGTCCATAGATGGTCCGCTAAGAACTATTTTTTCAATACAATCAAATCGATTATCGAAATAGCCCTACAGGTCCGGCTATGTTTTCTATAAAACTAATTTGAGGCCCCCCTATAGACATAAATTGTGAGGCTCTTTTGGAACTATTTTTTCGTAGAGAAAAAATCTGTGAGAGGACCTAATTCTAATTTTAATAATTTGTAGAGGGACTATTTTTTATATAAATGAAATTCGATAGGCCATTGGGAAGGGACAAAAATATAATATAACACATTTGGGAAGGTCTCAGGACTACGTCTTTCGATAGAAAAATTCGGGAGGATCACATTGCATTATTCGATAGAAAAAAAATTTTTTTATATAGAAATAAATCTGAAGGCTCACAGTTTCGAAAGAAAAAATTGGGATAGGTCCATCAGGTACATTTTTTGGCTATTGAAAAAAAAATTAGATTCCTGAGAATATTTTTTTCTTTATCCTTCCACCTAATCATTTCATTCGCCATATACGAATAAACCAACCCAAATGATGTTGAAATCATTCTGCTCGACTCATTCATTATTTTATTTTCAAAAAAATAATAATAAAAATCTCCAAACTAGAAAAAAATATAAGTTCGCTTTTAACATATGTCACTTGCATATGTGGTGGTCTTCAAACAAAACTCTATGTCGGAGACGCCATTTGTTGGCTACCGGTATTTAGTATTATTTTTTCTCATTTTTTGTTTTGTTTCGGTGACTCCTAAATAGAATGTTCGCTGTAAGGCGGCATAAAGCAGATAAAACAGTGACAACCAAAATAATAAATTTTATGGCAAATCACGCTTTTTTCGTAACATAGATTTGTAGATCTTTGTTGTCCAGCTGCCTGTCCGTCCGCCCATCCGTCCATCCGTCCATCCGTCGACCGACCTGGTCTGGTGTTTATATGGTAATTTAAGCTGCAAAACTGTCCAAACTGTTCAAACCCACTCCATTCAGACAGACAGTTCAGCTCATGTATATTCATACGGTTGTACATCCTTCTTATGGTGGAGTAGAGACTAACTCTGTCTTCATTGGATGCATCACCTCTCTGTCCCCTCTTCCTGTTTCTCTGCTGATATTTACAATAGAGCCGGGATTTTGCATCATGTTGCCGCTGTTGTTGCTGTTGAAACTTATGAATGATTTACGATATTTTTGTTGTAAACATTTGGCGTTTTGTTGTGTCTCTCCCCATACCCCGGCCGCCACCAAAAATTGCTACGACAAAAATGGTAAATGAATCTGCTCTGTCATTGCCTTTTCAAAATCCAAAAAAAAAAAAAAAATGTTTTCAATTTCAAAAAGACACCAACAACAACAGCAAGATGTACTACGCCAACAACAAGTGATGGTCACCAAGACCAGAGGATTCTCAA